TTTTTTTTTTTTTTTTTCTTATTTTCAGGTTATAAATATACAGCAATTAAAAAAGGAATTTTTTTTGGAAGAAAACAAATGGCAAAGCTAAGAAGTAAAGATTCAAAATCATCAAATAGTTAAGTAGTTATGAAAAAAATAGAGGATGGTTCAAAAGACAACCGATATTTTGAAAGCGGATACCGTTGTCTTTGGTACGACTGATCATCCACTGTGTATCTTTATAATTCTGGACTTTTTTTTGATGCTGTTTGCAAACTCACATTTCACTATCCTGTTTTCAAATCCCCAAGCATCTTTATCAAACATCAGATTTATCACTTCTTTGAGTTTTATACAGTTGCTCCTATCCAAGAAAGCTCGTAATAATTTTGAATTGTCGGCTAGTTTCCACTACGTTGTAAAGCAATCTATCGGCCTCAAAATTAGTTTTGTTTAAAAATCGGGATCGGAATCTAGGCTAAAGTACTGCGTCCAACTGTTCTACAGTATCATTATTGGTAAAAACAAAACAAATAATGATTTAAGATAACCAGGAAACAGACCGAGAAAGAAGTTCAACTAATGTAGACAGGTTGTCATTCAAGGATCTGCTTTTTTATTACTGTTACTGCATCTTTTCGCTGCTTATTGTAGTTATACCGCAGTCTGGCAACCATTTTGATCATGATATATGTGCATTTTTGTGCTTTAATGTAAACATTATAGAGTTCCTTTCTTACTGCACGAAACACAGAAAGGAAGATGAAGAAAGTAAGGAAGACGAATGAATGATAAAACATGAGAAGAAGAAGAAGAAGACGATGATGATGATGACGAAGGAAAAGGATGAAAAGCAAAATCACCAACAATATTGATCAGCTTTTAGAAAAAAAGCTTCTTCTACTTGTGTTCATTGCTGTTTAGTTTTTTCTTGTTTTTTTTTTTTTTTTTTTCCCTGTTCCTTCTTTTTTTCCTTCGTTTACAATGTTCTTTTATCTTTAGCAAAAAAAGAAAAGAAGGAAAAAAAAACAGATTTTTTCTCCTACATTCTGCATCATTTATCAAGAAAAAAGTTGTTGAGATAATTGTAAAAAAGGAAGTCAAAACGCCGCTAACATCGTTTAAGAAAAAAATGCTTTCATTGCTACCTATCAGCTAAATGTCAAAAAAAAAAAAAACTGCCTGAAATTAGTATCCATTACTCACTTAACCAACAATCTAATGTTCTATTTAAACAGAAAAACCACAACAATAATTTCTGTGTAAATGATCACCTACGAAAGAAAATAGTCATCAAAAAAACAAATGAATACCAATGGGTAATATAACAAAAAGCAAAAAAAGTGAAAAAAAGAGAGACGGAAA